TCTGCTACTTAATATTTACTGCAAGTTGAAGATCTGAGTGGATAAATAAAGGCTGGTAGGCAGAAAATGCACACAACATGGGAAAACTATTATTGGACTGATGTCAAGGACAGGATTGACATTCATAAAAGTCATAAATCACTTCTACTTCTTAAATGGCTCTTGACTTCATGTGCTGAGGAAAAAATTTGTTGACTGTGTAGTGAGTGTCTATATTCTCCTGTAAACATTCTTGTTTACATGGCAAACAGGTATTCTGCATTTCCTTGGGTGAGCAAACAACAGAAGACATAAATGAAATGAAATCAGGTAATGAGCTGGGTGTCAGGAATGTAAGTCCATAATGGTGTTTTTTGTAGTATTCATTCACTCCACTAAAACTATTTCTTTGATCATCAGACATACATCATTTCTGTCATGGGATTGCACTTGAGGTATCACATTTTTGCAGGCCTGGTGCCAGAATAGTCACCAGCTTCTGTGAAAAGCTGTTTTCTTTTCTAGATGTCTTTGAGATGTATCAGACTATATATCTTCTGCTGTTATGGGTTCTGATGACCGTCTTCCAGAAAATATTGCAGGGAATTCACCACCATCTCCATCATTGCCCCAGCGGAGGGCAACCTGGTTCAGAGGGTGGCATGCCTGTTATTTAGCTTTTTATAAAGCTATTTAGCTTTTCCCTTTCCAATAAACAGTGCAGTGGTTCACCTGAGGGAACATCAGTTCATTTCTAGAGCAGGAGTCATTTCAATGCAAGAAGAAAGATGGAGATGCCCTAAATTGTGCTTTAAACATCAAGGTGCTCATTTGCTTGTCACCTGATTTCTGTGCTCCTGGCTCCTCTGCCTTAGCAAGAGTCTTGAACATGTCTTGATCCCACCCAACAGCCATCTGCAGGTGGCTTTTAAGGAGAAAGTGGGATTTTGAGTCGTGGTCTTTGATAGTTAAAAAGAGTTATCCTACCTCATAGATGAGCACTGTAGCTGCTGAGCTAAGTTGAAAGTGATTGACATTGCCTCTTCTGCCTTAAATCAGTTCTGGCCTTTGATCTGAATCTTCTCTCATCTTCCCCATATTCAGAGAGAGTAAAGGACTCTCTGGAGACCTCTACAGAATCAATGTGTGTATCTAGAGGGGATGGTGGATCTCGGATGAATAAAAGATCGTGACTTTTTTTTTAGGCATCTAATAATAAAAACAATCTGTGATGATGAATTGCAGAGAATTTCATAGAGAGAGGGAATACTTTTGCAAGTTAGACAGTGTTTTACCTGAATATAAACAGATGATGCAGGTATGTCAAGACAGCCCAGCCTTGAAGGTCACTGTTGAGACTACCAAAATATTTCGCACTCACAACTCACTCCAAGAATAAAATGCAAGACATTTAATTTGGAAAACTAATGTACTGCCTGACAGGTCTAGCCACTGGCAGAATATCTCTTCCTAACGAAACCCACATTACTGGCAGCATTAGAAAAAAATGCCAGGGACCACTAAAAAGCTTTTCTTATTTTAATATGCATAGTTTAATCACCTTTTCAAAGTATTTGGAAGGGTTTTTTTGAGTAGTTAGTGCTGATGGGACTTGAATCCTGATTTTGTTGAAACCTGACATAGAATATCTTTTTATATATACTTTTGAAATGTTCCTGAAAGAGATTCTCTAGGTCACAATCATTATTGAAAAAAAATACTGGATATGTTTTTCACTGCAAATTATCTAAATTCAAGACCTGTGAGGTAGCTAATTTGAAAATTTAAATTTTGAGTTTAAAAAACGTATAACACATTATAGAAAGTTACAGAATAGAAACTTGCTGCTGTCATTATTTCCTTTGTTTTTCACACACACACAGACACACACACACACGTATATATGCATCAAATTCAGGAATATTGCACCATTAATTACCTTCTTATTAGTAATTAGACTCAAAGAAATCAAGCTTTACTTGGCATTGTACATTTTCTGTTCTTTGTGTTGTCTTTCATTGGTTATGTTTTTGGAATTTAACTTTCATTGTATAATGCAGAGCAAAGAAAAACAAGGGTAAAAATAGTAACATTCTCTGGCAAATATCCAAGGGAACTTCCAGTAAAGCAAGTAGTATAAACGGTTTCAAAATAGATAAATATTGTTTAAGGATACTCTATGTTTTATCCACAATAAATGATATTGACACTTCCTTGAAAACACAGTGGTGAATGTCTGTTAAAGATCAGGAGGTTAATTTTGAGCAACAGAAATCTGAAAAGTTTGTTTCTGCATCCTCTGAGGAGGCTGCAGTGAGGTATAGCACTCTTCCAAGTCACTTGTTATTAAGTTCTGACAAAAAGTCCTTTGACTTAAAAATAGTAAACCAGTTGAATACATACTTCAGTTTAAATTTAGTCAATTTGCTAGTGGCAGTAATTCTGATATTCATGAATATCAAAAGGAGGTGAAATGAGATTATTTTAATTTAATTTATTCTCTATTTCCAATTTATTTCATGTAGAAACACTGTAAGAAGAACAATTTTTCAAGAAAAACTTATAGTGATTTATTAAAATAACATATGAACCCACAATAAAAGTAATGATTAAAATAGAGTTATATGCTGGTATGATATCAGTATTATCACTGGCATTTTCTGCAGAGGAAAAAGGAGAGAAAGTAACGTCAGAGGAAGGCTGTGCCGTAGGTTTGTTTATATCAATAAATGTAAGAGTTCATAACAAAGCTTCTGCTATCTCAGTTTGTCTATGGGCTGTAAAATTTAAAAGAAAAGGATGTTTTGTAATATGTATAAAATGTAATTATTTTAACTATAAACTGGAAATAAAGAATAATATGAATTTGGATTACAAACTTTACTGCATGAGTTTTCTTCATAGAAGATTACTCCCTTTGTCAGGTGGAATTCTTCAGACTTAGCTGAAATATTTACTGAAACATCTGTTTCTGCTGGAATCTTCTCCTAAGCAATGTCCAGTGTCATCAGAAGCTAAACATAAAGAAGTTTGAAAAGTGCTGCAATTTGGGATCATCAGTGTCAAACTGCACACCACTAAGTGCACTCTACAGGCTGAGATAGGGGAGAAAAATAATTAGGGATACTGAAATGAAAATGAAGTTCCTGTAAAAGTATAAGGAGAGATAAATTAGATTCTCATAAATATTTTGATTTTTGCACTGTTGACATCTGTAAGGAAGTAATTTGCAATTCTACACTGAAGGTGTTTTAAACATTTTCAGCAATACAAAACAAAATTCCTTGCTCTATCTTTAAATTATCCAGTTCTAGAAACAAGAAAAGGAGAAAATTGTAAGCGAAGTATATTTGAATTCAAATTCCACTACAAAGTGGCTAAAGCTTTTACTTCAGCAGCATGGTGACATGGTGATGAAATACATAAATTCATCCTGGTACTTCTTACAATGCGTTTTTGAAAATTTAACCTCAGACCTCTTCCTCAGAGAAGAATTTAATTTCTATAGGAAATTCAATAAACTCATATAATTTATATAATTTATAATTTATAATTTATATAACCAGTATTCTTAAAAAATAATTTTGTAATCAGTCTATCCTAGATAATAACTAGGAGCTTTTTGTCACAAAAGTCCAATTTAAAGTTGAGATTGCCTTGCCTATCCATAGAGCCTCAAGCTCCTGTCTGAGACAGACGAAGGTAACACAAAAGGCCTTGCATAACCCAGAAGGATGAATCAGATTTCATAAGGTAGCTAAAATGGTATTACATGGCGAGTCAACTGAATACAACCATCCCAATTGTGCCATAGCTCATAGAAATCTGACAGTCCTTGAAGTGTCTTTATGGAAATATTTAACTATCACTTTCATGAAAATGTGAAGAGCCCTGCAGTCAGCCAGAAACATTCTTTATCATTTAAAGCATATATTTACCTTAAAAGTGGTGGATAGGAACACATCAAGTCTAAAGACACCGTGGAATGTGGTAAAATAAATATTTTTGCAATATTATAATACCCAAATAATTTTTTTTTTTTTTTTTTTTTTATCTTGACTTTTTAAAATGTTTTTAAAATATCTATTATTTATTTTTAAAATGTCTCATCCACAGTAAGGCTACTCAGCTGTGCTACCTAGCTGGGATCCATCTCTCTTGGCGTTGCAGGACCCACCAGTCATTCTGCCAGTAAGTGAACTTCAAATCCTCAGATCCCCTCAGGCACTGAGCACACACACGGGTGTGTGTATGCACACACACACACACACACACACACGCACAAGTAGTGCAGAGTGCAGAAAAACTCTGCTTAATGGAAGGCACAGGTGGTGCTGGTGCCCTGCTCTGCTGTAAAAGAGTTTGTATCCTCGGTATGATCTGGGATCCTTCAGGAAAAGGACTCTCTCTGTTCCTGTGTGTAATCAGGAATGTTCAATGTCAGGCGAAGCAATTTAACAGATTATATGACTGGGCATAAGGATGCAGTAAATAATTGGTGGTAATAATTCCATGTATTAAAAAACTCAAATTTTTGTAATATTATAGGACTCCTGTTTCATTGTTCATATTTATAATCTTACAAAAAGTTGCATGGGCACTCTTCTTAGGAAATGAATGCATGTTCCTAAACTGCTAAAGCTGAAAGAATGGCTTGAACATAAGATGAAATGCAAAGCATCACGTAAAATATCAAAAAGCTCATTAAATCTACCTTACACAGGTCTGTGAAGGATAATTGTCTGCATTTTAGCTAATCTAGTATACCTTTCAAGCTGTTACCTCTCTTAAAACTGTCTATTAACCCACTGCTTTGTGTTTCTCTTTGCAGTGTCTGCAGGTCAGCTTATGGTGAAACTGCTTTCAAAGAGCAGGTTAATCACAAATGACTTCAATAACATAAAATCTGAGGATTTACCTCTGCATGGCAGAGACGTCCCTGAAGCTCACTTATTTAAAAGTCCCTGGTACAACTCTATATGGAGGTTGTGTTTTCAGGGGGGAAGCACAAACATACTCACCCCTAACAAGCAGCTCTGTCTCGTCTGACACGGTGTCCGCTGCGGTCTGGACCCTGCACCCGTATCTCCCAGCGTGCATCAGGAGGATGTTCCTGATCATTAAATCTGCAGAGGATGCTTGCTGAAATAAGGATGAAGTGCCAGTTTAAAACCCAGTAAATCTGTGTTCAAGGTAGTTCACAAGGGTACAGTTTGAGCGACTCTTGAATGCAGCTTTCATCTTATAAAATGTATGTCTCCTAATACCCTCTTGTGAGGATTATCAGAACAGCGCATTTATACAATTATTAATAGGGATTAAAGAAGAGCATTTCAGGTTTTTAATAACTTTGACTTTGCTTAAAGCACATTGCGCATATTTGCACGTTCAAAGAGATTTATTCCAACTAGCACAAAGAAATTCATTAAGGAGATGAACAGAAATATTTTGGATGCTATCCATGGTATTAAGAAAAGCCCTCTTAGAAATTAAGAACTTTCTTCCTCTCCCTCTCTACTGCAATGCAGTGACGTTTGGAATATGTCTTGCTACTGTGCTAAAATTAAGATAACTTCAAAGATAATATTGATTGATTTTTATTAATATAGAGGAAGCTAATGTTAAATATGATTGAGAAAACAGGATCAGATTCTCATCCTTCATGACGAAATCTGTATATATTTAAATTTGAAAAGTGCAAAATATAGATAGAGAGTATAAAGAGGGAACCAGTTCAGATTTTTATTTTTTAGTATTCTAGCCAATAGTCATTACAATTCCTCAAAGTTCACTTTAAGAAACATTAATTGAATATAGGCATTTTCCCTTCTCAGATTTGGTCTACTTTGCTAACCAAGCAAACACTGACAGTCTTTCCTTGAAGTATATATTTCTATCCAATGCAGTGGTTCTAATTTGAGTAATTTTGATTCTGAGTGTACAGAATTGTACCCTGCATTCAAAATAAAACCTTACTGGGAGTGTAAGTGTTGATACTCCTCTAGCTGTGTTGGAAATCTGTCACTGAATGCAGCAAGATTCATATTTGCTTTTTTTTTTGGTGCATACTTATTCTATGCTCATGGAGACACACTCAGATCTTTATCCTTATTCATTAGCAAGTTATGAGCTCCCAATTTATATGTCATTCATATGTGCATGATCTTGCTCTTCATAGGATTGCATTCTTGTTTGTTCCCATCTGTTATTTTCAACATCAGTTGTATTGGTAAGATGTCCAATTTTGTACCGTACAATCTTCATTTGCATATTTCTTTTATACCAAGGTGATTAATGACAAGATAAAATAGGATTCATTTCCAGTTCCAATCTTCTATAATTTAGGGGGGGTTTAGGCAGAAGAGTTCCTTTGCAGCATATCTTGGCACACTTCTTCAGCCAGTCTTCTCTTAATTTACATTTTTTGAACTGACTTATCGCAATATTCCATGCATGTAGAATCAAGGCAAAATCTTTACCAAAGGATATTCAAATGCAAAGAAGGAAAAGAGAGGTGGCGACATCAAGGCTGCCTCTGAGGCCAAAGTGAATATGGGCATGATCTATAGCTTAATAACGCTGTAGATCTAAGAGTGTGATTATTGTGGGAGTATTTTGCCTTCTGAAGTGGCCTAGATAATGATGTTCCTGAAGGGAAGATACTCAAACCAGTCATGCCATAATGCATATAATTCTTATATTCTGGCTCTAGCATATGAGATATCACAGCAGTGGAAAAGAATATCTCAGTACTCCATATCTCGAAATGCAAAAGAAGAGCACACAGTCCTTCCAGGAGTCAAATTCAGGTTATATATTTTTAAAGTTGTGTAACAATAACATTTACTAGCTATTAAAGCAGGTTGCTCAAGATCATCTTGGTACCAAGCTTTAGTTATTAAAAGGATGAGATGAGAATCAGTTCAGATTTGCCCTCTTGTGAGGGTAATTTACATCTAATGCGTGTTTTGTTGTTAAGTGTGAGGAATGGCGTAATGGATAGCAACTGTCTGATTTCATTGCTCAGGAGTTGTTAAAAATCTTGGCTGTCACTCTGCTTTCAGAGGGTTCAGCAATGTGTAAATTCTAATATTTTTATCAGGAACAATCTATGTATTTCATCTACACACCTGTGTAATTGGGCAGACAAGCTGCAATTGAAAGAAAAGAAGAAATCATTGCTGTAAATGGAGAGCAATGCAGTACAACAGATCTCTATGAAACACTTTTATTACAACATAACAGAATGAGCAGCCAGCATTGCTGAGGATGTGTGAGTGGATTAAACTCACTGTGTTTAATACAGATAGATATATGCTCAGACACTGGATTCTTGATCATAATCAAGAAAATAAGGACATATTTTAGCTTCCATTCAGATAAGTAGAAGATATGTTTGACAA